ATTTATTATTTATTATTTATTATTTATAATTTATTATTTATTATTTATTATTTATAAATTATTATTTATTATTTTTATACATAAATCAATTCCATTATATTTATTTATACTTTTATTTATAATATTTAAATATTTATTATTGGAAAAACTAATTTTTTAATGTAATTTTCTCTCCAATATTACTGAATTAATTATTATTTCAAATGTCAATTTCAGCACTTCCAATAAGTTGCTTGTTAGCGCCACCTATGTATTTCAACTGTAACTATGGCATTATTGTCAGTGTGCACCTATGGAAATGATTTCAATCCACACACTCTATTAGTTCAAAAGAAATACAATAGATGGAGCTATGAAAAATATTGTGCAAAATGTTCGTCTAGTGGATGGTATGTTTTTAAGATTTTGCTAGGAAAGTTATTGGCAAGAAAGTTGGTGTGTCTGTCTATGGGCTCTAATTAGACTAGAAATAGGCCCAAGGCACTCTTATCCCTTTTTTCTTTGGTAAAGTGGAGTTAATGAGTATTTGTGATTGTTCTTAGCGCTTGTATGTTGTTAGAGCTGGAGTATGCAGCTTGAATATGTAATATATTAATTTTGTTGTTCTGTTGGCATTCTTTTTTTTTTATTAAATTTTATTATATAATCTAAATGGAAAAATACATATAAAATTATTTATTATTTATATATTAAATTAAGATTAGGATTACAATTTTCCATTCAAATTCAATTGGAAGTCGTTAACAATATAAAAATTGATTTGAATTTTGATATAATGTATATTAATTATATTTCTTACCAATTCTGTCATCTGTAATAGTAAAAAAAAAACACACAATATAAAAGAAAACCTTTTGGTTTGCATTTCCACTTAAGAGAGGTCTTCGCAATAACATTGAAAATCAAATTTTCGCCAAGAGTTTCGAGTTTTTCTGCTGCATTCAGCGGAAAAGTGAAAACCACAACAAAACAGCTGAAACTCAGTCCGCATCAAGAATTCTGCTTGGCAAGCAAACGCTTGAAATGTTATAAATGCTGAACAGTCGTGGCAAGTGCTGAGCATTTCGAGCCAAGTTGACATCATGACAGACCACAGAGAATTTCTAGCAGCCGCAATTATTTTATTGTTGGGTAAGTCCCCACTTGAGTAAGTCGATCTCAGCGATGGAATTTAAATGATTTTCTGACACTTTTTAGCCATGCGACATTGCACTGCCGTTCCCTATGGCTCGCCTGGCAATGAGATTGACGGCGATGGTAGCTACCAGGGCGCGGGAGGCAGCTCCGCCAGTGGCCGAACCGTCGACTACCACACAGTCGTGGGCCACTTCAAAGACTTCTTCATGTATCTGCCAGTGATGATGACCACACTGAAGGAGACCATGTCCGGCTTTCCCAAGTTTGCCGAGGGCATGCGCATCCTGACCTCCGGCAAGGGCCGTGTGGACGGCGAGGACTGCAAGTGCAACCAGAACAGTTTGGCTATCGGATCCAGTGCTGAGGTACTGGACAACAGCAGCCGATTTGGTTAGGTTACTGCTGAGAGCAGTGACTGTGTATATAGCTTATGTAAATAGGAATATGAATACCTAGTGCCAAGTAAAATAAATTAGTGTAATATTTAATTAAACCTAACATATATCTAAACACGTAAAATATTTCATCTTAAATGAAAAATAAAATAAATATAAATTAAAATAAAATATAAAAAATTAAATTAATTAAAGCAAAGTTGAAAATATATTTGAAAATATTTAATGTGGCACTAAAAGATAGAGAGAGAAAGAGCGAAAAAGATAGTCATAGACATCAGTAGATAGAGCGAGTGAGAGAGAGAGAGAGAGAGAGAGAGAGAGAGAGAAATAGGCAGAGATAGGTAGAGAGAGGACGAGAAAGCAATTTTATATTTATTATTGTTTAGTATTATTGTTAAAATATTCAGGTCAGGGTAAAATCTGGTATGCCAGTGAGTCAATAAATTATTCGACTGATCAGTTAGTCGAACACTTAATTAGTAGGTTAGTTGGTGAATCTGTAAGGTAGAGAGTGGAGCGATAAACTAATTCCTCCAGCAGTGATTCACTGAGCTGGTGGGCCAATCAATTAGGTCCAGTTTATGCTTTGCTCATTAAACATTGATTTTGATTTCGTTTAAATATGTTCGACAACTTTCTTCGTTAATTTCCTTCAAACGATTATTTCATTCTGTCTGCCCACTAAGCTGTAATTGTGGCATATTACGCATATGGCTGCGGTTATTAGGCATTTGAATAACTGTAAACTTGACCCACAGGACTCGCGATGCCCTTGAACGTAAGCACTTCATAAGAAAGTCTGTTCTGGTAATCCTATATTAGCTATTAGGCAATCATCCGTCCTGATTGGACTTGAACTATATTTGTGTTTTCTTAAGTAGTCAATAGTCGCAGCGACGTTTCATTAGCCCAGTCAGCTCACCCGGCAGAGAATGGAAATCGTAATCAAAACTTACAATCTGCTCCGGGGCGGGCAGTCGCAACTGGTTTAGTTGTTTGTGTCCTGTCATATTTACACTTGTCATTATTGTTAATTGTGTTTGTTGTGGGTCAGGCACACACGCGTGCTATATTTACACATATTCGCCGGGTGCCAGCTGCATGGAAATTCAAGTTTTAGTAACGCTCGAGTCTCTGTCTCTAACGGTCGGTGGAAAAATCGAAAAAGGAAAAGTCATTGGCAACTGTACTTCGGGGCCAGTATGCGAAAGCGAAAAAAGTTTCTCAGATATTAGAGCAGCTAACAGTTATTTAGATTAGTCGAGTCTAGTCTGAGTCGAGACTGATCCAGATGGCCACCGGAATCGAGCTGATGGTGGCTGCCGCGCTGTGCCTGGCCTGTCCGCCGATGAATCATACGCTGCCTGAGGAACTAATACTGCTTGACGAGTTCGGCAGCGTGGTAACGGATGTGCCCCTCGATGTGCACGCGGAGAACGTGGGTTTGGATGAGGAGACGCCCATGGAAACGCTCGAGGTATTGCGTAACAAGCGGGAGAAACTGCGCAACATGAAGGCCTGGATCAATGGCCGGCATCTGCGCATAGCCACGCTCGAGGATTATCCACTGAGCTACACCCAAGTGCTGGAGAATGGCACTCGGGTGGGTCATGGCGTCTCCTTTCAGATCATCGAGTTCCTGCAAGAGAAATTCAACTTTACCTACGAAGTGGTTGTGCCCCAAGACAACATTCTTGGCTCGAAAGTCGACTTGGATCGCAGTCTCATTGAAATGCTCAACAATAGCGTGAGTTTCCCATACACCCATAAGCTAGCATCGATAAGATCCCTCTCTCTCTCGCTCACTCTTGGATAACAGGAGGTGGATATAGCTGCTGCCTTCATACCCTCTCTATCGGAGCAGCGCAGCTTTGTCTTCTACTCCACAACGACTCTGGATGAGGGCGAGTGGATTATGGTGATGCGACGTCCGCGAGAGTCGGCTGGCGGCTCTGGCCTGCTGGCGCCTTTCGAATTTTATGTCTGGATACTCATTTTCGTCTCGCTGCTGGCCGTCGGACCCATCATTTACATGCTGATCATAGTCCGAAATCGTCTGACCGGCGATACAACGCAGCAGCCGTATTCCCTGGGCCACTGCGCCTGGTTCGTCTACGGCGCACTCATGAAGCAGGGCAGCACCCTCTCGCCCATTGCAGGTGAGCCAGCAATTAAGCTTAATGCAGCGATAGCCATCGGCAATTTGAGCTGCATTTGGCCCGTGAACTGCGCTCGGTTCACTGGACATGCAATCGCCGAGTTGCCGAGTTTGTCGATTCAATTAAAATTTATATACACATATATAACATACATATACTTCAGACTCGACACGCCTCCTCTTTGCGACCTGGTGGATTTTTATTACGATTTTAACCTCTTTCTACACGGCCAATTTGACGGCGTTTTTGACCCTCTCGAAATTCACTCTGCCCTACAATACGGTCAACGATATTCTAACGAAGAACAAACATTTTGTCTCCATGCGAGGAGGAGCCGTTGAGTATGCCATTCGTACGGTAAGTTCGGTACAGATACAGATACAGATACAGATACAGATACAGATACAGATACAGATACAGATACAGAT